GAGAAGAGTGAAATATAAGTGTTCATTTTTCAATACTCAGCTATGTTGCAGTAAAACAGATACATAAGCTGTGCACACACTCTAAAGAAATCCATTTCCTGTATTATTTGAATAACTTTCAAACATAATGTTATGACGTGTTTAAAAGGTGATGTCTGGACTCTATAAAAAAATCTCTGCTGAAAAAATAATGCTCTAAAGCATGATAACATTGGCCTGATCATTTCTAAGCAAAATATTTACAAAAGCAAAGGCATGTACGGAATGTCCTAATTAATTTCATAATAGGCATTAAATTAACAGTGTTCTATATTTTTATTGAGATGCAATGGACATATAACACTGCATTGGGTTCAGGTATACAATGTAAAGATTCATGATTCTGTGTGTATACATTGCAAGATGACCATCATGTATCATTAACATCCATCCCTCAACATGCATAGTTATAAATTCAAAAATTCTTGTGATGAGAAATTTGAAGGTGTGTGTGCTAAATAATGATCATATATCCTATGTGGTGCCGTGCAGAGATAACTGCTGTCACTTTCAGGGACATTTTATTCCTGTGACTCATTGAGCCCCCTGTGACCTTCCTGTCCATATTCTCTACTATATCACTTATGTTTTTCTTTATATTTCTTATATAATTGCTTGGTGTATTCATTCACTAAAGAGAAAAATCATACATGTATGTTGTTTTCCATGGAAGAATAAGCTTATTCTCCTCCACTTTCTAGTTAAAATCAATGCATATATTTTTTGTATGGGGACTGAGAAATAGCTTAATTTTCTGTTAGAGATACCCTGTGTAACCCTTATTCATAACCTACTATGTTTGAACACATTGTCAGAAGAAAAAAATAATAAATAATAACACAATCAAATTCTAAACAAAAATATATACTTAACTCTTTGTGAACAATTTTATTGAAAGAGCCCACAGGTTTCCTACAAGGAAAAGGAGAGTAATCTTTCCAGAGATATTAGAACAAATGATGATTATCTCCAGAGCCCTAACTCTTGATGCTCAAAGATTAAATACTTCCCTAGATTGCATCACTGAGGCCTCACAATAAAGTTATGCTGCAGCAGACATTGCCATTATGCTCACAAAGGGAGATAGGAGCAGTTACACCATGCTTGTGCTCATAGAACAGTGGGAGACCTGTTTGCACGTTTGTATTTTCTGTCCACCACTCTCTATGATTTTCACATACATGCTGAAACATGTATTTTATTTTAGAAACAAATGTCATTTTAGAAACAAATGTCCATAGAATTCATATTTACATCTTGAATACACCAAGACCCGTCATCTTCAACTGACAGAACACAGAAGGAAAAAGATTGTAGATGTTCGTCATGTCTGAAATCCATACTACTTCTGAGTTATCTGAAAATTGGGAAATTTGGTCTCGGGAAGCCTCCTTTGCACTCTTATTTCTTCCCGGGGTGGAATGCATGCATGATTGACATCCTCACCTATCTGTGCAATCCAGGCTGCATCAGCCTGCATCAACCTCCTCATCAGACAGCTCAGTTATCTCTTATACAAAGTAGTTAGTATCTCTTTGGCTTCATTGATAATAAGATCAGATCAATCCTCACTCCTCACCTAAGCATATGATATTTTAAATTAAGCATTATCGATCAAGGTTATCCTCTGGATGGGTGGTGACACTATGGAGTTTTGATTTGTTGATGCAGATGAAACTTCTTTAGGTTCCTTTCTGCAATCTATAACAAGAAACCTGTCTGCCATTTTTTCTCTCTAGTGAGTATGGTAACCAGGATCACAGAACAAACAGTGGTCTCAAAAATACTTGGACACTCTACAAAGCAGATCAAGATACCAGTTCTCTCTCTCCCTGACTGCCTTTCTGTTGGGAAATTATCAAATGTCATATTTTCTGGATAATCTCAGTGCACACCGCTCAAGTTAACTATTACTCAAATTTCAAGATGGCTCAGAACTATCCTGAAGGCTTCCATAGCTTAGATTTTTATTTTCATCTCTGATTTTAAATTCTCTATTCAAACATCATAGGTTTTTTTGCAAAGGCTGTCTTTTCTATTGTCTGTTTTCCTAAGCTAAGTCTTATGTCTAAATTATTTTCAGGTTGGTGATTTTCTTTCTTTTTAATACCTTGTTCTTTCCTTATATCCTATCTAATGCATATTTTTGAATGCAGGGATAAAGTCTCAATTATTATCTAGTCTTAAAAGCAGATTATAAAATTTTTGTTGACTTAAATTGTACTTTGATATCTTTCACTGAGTAATTCCTGATGTTGGAGAAAACTTTCCATCTCCCCATGCCTCAGTTCCTTCCCCAATGAAAGGAGCTAGGAATAGTACCTAACTCATGTACTTGTTCTGAGTACATAATGAGCTAAATGCTTTGAACTTAGTTAAACACAATGTATTTCACTTAAGTGCTTCCTAAACATTAGCTTTACTACTTTTTATTATGTTGTTCTTATAAACCCCTCTGTGTAAGTGTTCCCTCTCTGTCATGCATGTCATCCCTAGAGACTTGTAGCCTTATATTAAGGGAAACATCTTTAAATTTCATGTCCAGTTATACATGTGTGTATGTGTATACATGTGTGTGTATGTATGTATTTACAGTGCTTTTAATCTCTATTTACAATGGTTTGATTTTGGTAGCTAGGAACTGGCTACTGGAATATTCCCTAAACACTGAATTCCTTAGGTTTTATCATAAATCCCAATTTAAGACCTCTAACTCCTATGCAAAGGGTTAGTGATTTTATTATTATTGAATTTCACCAAAAAAATGTCAAGTTAATGTTAACATTTGCAAAAAAATGTAAATATTTACATATTTATATGTTCCATGAATTACTAAGTTATGTTGACATTTTAAGATTTCTGAAAATGTTGGAATATGTTATGAACATTATCGGAAGTTATTGAGAATTGTTCATCTGCATTTGTCTTAAGCAATATTATGAATCCATGTCACTTCATAAATTTAAATATTAGCCCTGAATGAATTGACATAGTCCCCTAAAATAATTAGAATAGTTTCCTTGATCTCTCATTTCTACATTCCTTTTTCTTTCTTTCTTTCTTTTTTTGTTTTTTGTTTTGTTTTGTTTATTTACAAGTCTAGGCAGAAATCCAAGGGTAGTTAAGCAGAACTATTTAGTTCTACTTGAGTCAAAATTCAATTGCAACTCTATGAATAAGACTCTCAGATCCAAGTAATCCCCAATACCTAGCTCCTGTGTGTAGATTTCCCAAGAGAGTTCAGTAATACAGAAAACGGCAAAATGAATAGCAGGAAGCTAAGGACATATATCTAGCATGATACCTTCCATTTTAAAATATTTACGCTTTTTTTCTTTTTTTTTTTTTACTCAAACTATTTACACTAAAAGCATTTAACCACAAACATTAGTACTGGTGTTAGCTCAGAATGAAGTACCTAAAATAGAAGAGACAATGTCTACACGTTTTCACATTCTCAAGTAAGCTTATAAACAGAAGAGGTTCCTTTTGTTTTTGTTTTTTTTTTTTTTTTTTTGCAAAATGACCACTGGAATGTCTAAAATGAGCCACTTTCTGACTTTCTGTCATGCTTCAGAGGGCTCTATGCATAGCAGTGTTTCCTAGGCCTTTTTGATACTGAGGCAGGAAACTTTGAGGCTGAACTATACGTTTCAATGTTAAGTCCCAATATCAAAAACTATGATCCCAAAATGGGAAGTTCCTTGATGACAGGTAATGGCAACTAACTTGATAATGTAGTAACCAAATCTTACTTCTAATTTCATTGTCAATTTACATTTTATCTAATATCATCCTTTCCAGGCACCAGCCTTCTCACCCCTCCTAATCTCTGCAGTTACCTTCAGCATCTGTTGTCTGGGGAAGGGATGTTATGAGTTGTTTGTTTGTTTGTTTTGTGATACAAAATCAAGTCAAAGTCAAATTGTTTCAGAACAAAAGAATCTTGGTTTGAGAAAAACAAGACTATGTGTCTTTTCCTATCTTCAGTAGTATCTCAATCTGGTATCTAAAAGTATTGCTCTATAGCTGTTCTACTTCTTGTTTAAAGTGTTTTTTTTTTTTCTCATTGAACTTTCTTCAGTTAACAGTTTTTAGTAAAATAAATCAACATATAAGAGTCAATTCCATGTTTTGATCAAATTGTTATAACTGATATATTACTGCTCTTTTTAGGTGTTATTTTCACTGAATGTGCTCCTAGATTTCTCTGGATGCTCTAACTGACACTATTAATATTTTACGACATGCTGTTGCACATATATCACAGGTGGTTATGAGAGTTCATCATATTTTACTTATTGTATTAACACATAATGGACTTACCAAAGGCAATGTTTGTTGTCTCTTACTAATCACTGTATTTACACTCTGTACCTTTCTATTCATGGAACTTGGTTCAGTGTTTTGTATTTAAGTTTTTGAATTAGTAATTCAAGCATTAATTGAGAGCTGACAGGTAAAATGAATGTCAGATCTATCCAAATATAAAGTTGGTCAAGTGTTGGTGGTATAATGTTGAGCTTGCCAAATATAAAGTTGCCAGACATATCTTAAGAGGGGTCGCCATGGCGGCACAAGGAATTAAAACACAGTACTAGGAAGCTCTCCACAGCCACTGCAACAAGAGTTCCATCCCCAGTCGGGGAGCTGACCCACATGGCACAGCAGACCTCTCCTATATCCCCGCTGCTCCCCTCAGCAGTATATTTCAGTGGGTCTGCCTGTTCTGCTCCCCACTCTGTCTCTAGTGAATCCTCTTACCACCACCCCCTGCACCTCTGACCTATACCCCAGTTCTTGTAGGCATAGAAAAATAAAAAGAATCTTAAGAGTCGTATATAGACATTTAAAATATGCAATTAAATATTTGAATATATTTGACTTAATACCTCCCTTCTTTCAGTTTTATATTCTTTATTTTACCATCAATTAAAAAGATGTGTCTGTGATTTTTCTAGATACTTCATTGACTACAGTGCTGAAGAGGACAGATTTTTCAACATTGATGCCAATACTGGAACCATTAAGACCACAAAAGTTCTTGATAGAGAAGAAACTCCCTGGTACAACATCACAGTCACTGCTTCAGAAAATGGTAAACTCCTTTACATTATGGGTCATGGGGAATTTGACATTGTGCATGAGGGTTTATGTTCATCGGCCTCAGGTTTTCATGGGAGTAGAGTGAGATGCCAGGTGCCTGGCTCTGACAGTGTATGTACAGCATGGAAGACACAAATCCTCACTTTCAAGTGCAGTGACTAAATCATATCTGTTTGCCTTTACTTTCATCCCAGCTCTGGGAAGGAACTTGGGCCTCACCACACGCTTTGTCTTCACCTGTTGCTTGGTCAGAGTGTTTGATTCAAATTTCTCATGGTGATATTTGCTGCCTCATAGATGCATGTCTACATGATCATGAAGTTAGAAGGTTGTTTCAAATATTTGTGTTCAGCAAAAGGAAGGAATGAAAATAGAGTATGGTACTTCAGTAGTTTTATTCATTTAACATTCTTCTACAAGCTTTCATGAAAGTACAAGCTTACTGTAAGCTAAAAAACTTACAGAAAAAAGAATAACTCTTGGAATTTCAACAGGAAAATCTTAAGTTATCTTCATGAGAATTATATGTGGAACCACTGAGGAAGAGTCTTTTTCCATCCTTATACAGAATATGGCAGCATTATGATAATCTTGATCCAGAAAACAATGCAAGAATAAATGTCAATAATTACCTCTGCATTTTAAGATTGTATGAATATGTTTAAGTGAAATCAGAACAGAATTGTGATTACATAGATCATGGTAAAATCTTTTATAAAGATTGAATGAGGTCTAAGGTGCCATGTATAAAGTTGAACATAGAAATTGGGTATAATTTAAGGATGCTATCATGCATTTACGAGAGAACCATAAATAGATGGGAAATTGGAATTACTTCACATTAGAAAGTAAAGCTACATATAATGAAATCATGTTCTCTTTTGCACTCAGAGAATAAGACATTAACATGTTTAGATATGATACACAGTTTTCATTTAGATTTTTATATGATTCACATAACAAAAAGATAGTATGAGTATGTGCAAATGCAATTAGAACAAAACTTGACCTTTCTAAGGTATGCAGTTTCAGTGGAATTCAGCATATCCATTATCCATCTCCATAATCAGCTTTAGGGCATTTTCATTCTCCTGCAGAGTCTTGCCTCTAGCTCTAGCTCCTGAGCTCATTGTCCGGCTGGAAACCACGATTCTAGAGCCATTTCTATAAATGTCTTCAAGTGGCTACAACTAAATACCACTCAAGTTAGTGCTTTAAATAGCTAACATTTACTCCTTCTATTTTGGAGACTGGGAATTCCAAGGCCAAAGAGTCAGAGTTTCGATGTCTGGTCTGTCACCATCTGTCTTCCAGTCTGGTCTTATGGGACAGAGGGCAAGGGGCATTTCTGAGATCATGCCTGTCTGAGCACTAATAGTCAGGCAAGCTCTGCCCTCACAGCCTAAGAACCTACTTCCTAGCAACACCCCAGGAGGAGTTAGGTTTCAAAATATTGTCATAAATTGTCCTCAGTAGCAATAGACTTTCCCACTATTGTGATTTGCTGTAACACAATATATGTTCCTTTGTGACTGGACCCGTTTTAGTTAGCTGATTTTCAAAGCTCATCCACATTATAGCTAGTATCATCCCTTCATTCTTTTCTTTTTAACATTTTATTCATGTATGCACACAGAACCAGAATACAGGCCAGAGGTGCAGAGGAGGTAAGAGGATTCACCAGAGATAGAGTGGGGAGAAGAATAGGCAGACTGACTGAAACACACTGCTTTTTTATGATTTGGAAAGTTATTTACAGGAGAGGTCTGATGCTCCCTTTGGATCAGCTTTTTAGCCAGGGATGGAACTCACACTGAAGCAGCTGCTGCTAGTTTCTGAGTTCCCAGTGATGTACCTCAACCTGCTGCACCACCAGGGTCCCCAATCCTTCATTATGCTAAAAACTTCCATTTCTAGACTACATACACTTTATTTATCTATTCATCATTTAGTAAGCATTTGGGTTGTCCATACATGAATAATATTGCTGGAGCATTAATTGAAAGACATGTGGACATGTTTCTTTTGGGTATATACCTACAAACTGTTTGATAATATGGTAACTCAGTATTTATTCTTTTGGTAAACAAACATACTACTTACCAAAGTGACCACCACAGTTTACATTTCAAACAGCAGAACAGGAGGGTCCTGATTTTGCTACCTTTTTACAAATATTTATTATCTTTTTCTTTGATATCAGGGTAGGTTTGGGATAATATCATCACTGTGGTTTTGGAGTAATAACTCTTTATGTTATATAATTTTATAAGGTTCTTCATTACAAGTCAGTAATTAGATTATTCTAGTCTTTTCTATCTGAATTTTTCACATTTGTGCACCTGCAAAATCACCTCAAGTGATTTCCATTTAGATTACTTTTCCAACATAATATTCTCTTTGAAAATAAGCATTTACTAATTGCTTTTTTATGACTTTTATAGTTTACAATGCCTAATCAGATACATGGTGATGTACCATTTTTAAATGAGTATTATAAAGAATCCATAGTGGGTCCATTTATTATCATTCTAGCTAATCTTTATTTTCAAAATAACGGGACTGTGTATAGAATCATGTGTTCTTTGTCAGCTAAAGGCAATTCCAATACTCTCGAAGAATAAGGACTCGTTTAACATTAGTTGAAGTATAAAGGTGTGAATGAATTAACTGGTACAAGAAAAAATAATGAGAACATTGAAAAGATTCAGAAAAAATTGGGCGGTTCTTCTTGGGAAGCAAGAAGATCCTTCATATATGAAGGATGGGCAGTAGAGTTCCTAGGGAAACATGTTTATCAAACACAATAGTAATTTATTTTAAAATAAATTCCAGTTCAACTCTAGATGTTAAGACTATCACAGACCAAAGTTTAGATTGCTTCTAAATCTCACCACCACCTAAATGAAGTCCGAATCAAGTAGAAACTGCCTTATGAGTAGAAATGATTTCATGTGTATCATGAAATTTATATTATTGCCAATCATTACCAAAAGAAATGCACATTTTTTACTAACATAACACCTCACATATATGTCTACCTTTTTTTGTTTTTCACTCTTTGCTAGTACTACCCACAGGAAATGAGTTCATACATATCTACTAAGTAAAACAGTACATACCTTGGATTTTATAGATGGTAATAAAAAAGCTCTAGGGACACTTCAGATAGCATTGCTAAAATCTAATTCAATCCTAATCATAAACATGTATGTATAAAGAACGAGCACTACTTAAGAGTTATAGCCATCTGGGAGAAGCCCACATTCTGGTACTAATTGTTTGGCCTAAGGGCCCAGTTCAATGCCACTGGGATCTCTGCCATGTAAATTATTGTAGGTCTTAACCTCAACATTAGCCCTGTTAACAAAATATTTCCTAATATATTTTAATATTAGAACTGTACATGATAATCTTGAAAACTGAAAAATTTCAAGACTGTTTAGAACAGTTTCAAGTTCAGCAAAATCAAGAAGGTACAGACCTTCCAGCTTCCTGATGCTTTTACCATCCCCTACCTGCTACCAGTGTTACAACTGATAAGCACGGATAGATACATCATTACTGTGAACTTTGCCCATAGTTAATTTGAGGTTCTCTCTTGGTATTCTAGTGGGATGACAAATTAAAATTGCATGTGTCCTTCAGTACAACATCATACAGAATATTTTCATTGTATTGAAATTCTTCCATGCTCCCCTATCTATCTTCCCTTGCCCTATCACCAGGGAATTGCCAATCTTTTTATTGGCTCCTTAGCTTTGATTTTTGCAGAATGTTATATGGTTGGAATCATACAATATATAGCCTTTTCATAATTATTTTTCTCACTCTAAAGTGTCTTCCATGTCTTTTTATGGTTTGACAGCCTTTCCCTTTTCATTGCTCATTAATATTCCATTGTCTTTATGTACCCCAGTTTAGCTACTGAAAGGCACCTTATCTTGGTAGCTTCTAAAGGTAGCCAACGATGAATGAAACTTCTATAAGCATTTATGTGTAGGTTTTGAATGAGCATAAATTTTCAACTACTTTGGGTAAATATGAAGTAGTTCAATTGCTTAAGTATTTAAAAAGAGGATGGTTAGTTTTGCAAGAAACTGTCAAACTGTCTTTAAAAATGATGGTGCCCACCAGCAATGAATGACATTTCCTATTGCTCCATATCTTCACATTCTCAACTCATTTGATGATGGCAGTTTTCAAAATGGGGGTCATTTTAATAGGTATATAAGGGTCTCTTATTGCTACTTCAACTTGCAATTCCCTGATGATATACACATGCACACACACACACACAAATTGAGAGAGAGAGAGAGAAACACTGTTTCTTCGGGGAAGTTTGTTTTAAGGTCTTAACCCATACTTTAAAAGGTTCCTCTATTTTCATATCAGTGAATTTTAATGGTTCTTATAAGTTTTAGGTAATATACTTCTATCAGATGTGCTTCTTACAAATATTTTCTCCCAGGCTGTGTTTTGTATTCTCATTTTCCTGACATTGTCTTTGCAGATAAGAAATCAGATTTTCTATGAGATTGCATTTAAAATTTAATATTTCATTATAATTTTACTTAATTTGCTTGATTGAGGTCACATTGGTTCACGACACTGATTAGAGGTTTAGGGTTACCTCTCTTCTCATGTATGTTACCGCACCACACCCACCACCAACTCACTCATAGTCCTCCACTCTATCCATTGTTTTAAATCTGCTTTAGCTATTGCACAAGTAAGAAAAGAGGGGTCCTTTTCAGTGGAGAATGTTTAGAGTGAATAAGAGCAAGAACCCCTATGAAATGAAAATAATGCCCCTTAATCGCATGACTGGCATCATTCAAGGAACCCAATATGAGAAGATGGTGTCACTCTTGAAATGAAGAGGCTTGGAGCATGTCAGTAGGACCCAAACTCAATGTGCCTATTTGCTACGTGGTATTTGACCATTACATACCTATTAAAATGGCTCCAATTTAAAAACAGACATCACTA